TGGCTGGGAGCAATGGGAATTGAAGTCCAATCCACCGGTGGATACATGGTTGGAAAAGGCTGGTCTAGACTACACTTGCAGACACATCAGCCCCCATGGCCATGAGAACACCAAACCAGCACTGAGCCCTTTTCAGACATGACCCTTGGGCTGCAGAAATTCTGCACCCTCTTCCATGGGGGGAGCCAAGTGCTTCAGTAGGTTTTACTTTCGGATAACCCCAACCCGCAGAAGAAAGGAGCGCAGGGGTATCGATTTCTTGCACTGGTCAAGGTAACATCAGGCGAATTGAGGCGTCACACAGGATTTTAGAGGGGCACAGCAAAAAGGGGCCTCAATGCCTGAGGCACGACCTTTGCACACCCCACAACTGCTCAGCGGGAAGTGGGGGGCAACTTCAAAGGAGCCTGTTTAGCATCGGTTGTGAAATCCTTCCCAGATTCCACACAGATTTCCCCCACACACATGCATACACTTGTTTTGGTGTAACCTGCCATCCTTAAAGGCGCCATTTAACCCTCCCACCTCAGGCCCCATCGGGGGAAGAGCAACACGGGTTGAAGGCATGGAGAGACTAGCAGGTAGGGCAGTTCCGGCCAAAGCAGACTGTCACCCCGCACCTCCTAAGAAGCAGATCCCTTTGGGCTGAGCGGGATCAGAGGATCTGGAGACTGCGATCCTTCAGGCCCATTTGGGGAGTAAGAGTTTGGTAAGAATCACACCCCCCTCCCCCTTGGCTTCCAAGCAAGCCGGCATGGATGCGGGAACTGCAGTGACCAAGGAGGATCCCATCTCTGAGTCCGTCCTTAGCTCTGCTTGCAGCTGTGAAGCTGCCTGCACCGAGCAGAGGGAGCGAACACCGACTTCCTTTTCCTTTTTCCTAGCGCTGCGCTGGAAGGCCTTTGTGGGGATCCATCCTAGCAAAGCTTCTCCCCTGATCCTGAGCCCCCTAACTTGAAGCGAACTCCCAACAGCCATGGGGCGGAGGGGCGGGACAGATCCCCAACGTGGCTCCCAGTCGTCTGCCTGTCCTGTAGAGCCTTTGCTCAGGTGGTTCTCCCCAGACTTGAGGGCAGCTGGCCAAGTAACCGGCCCACTGACCTGCAGCGCTGCGCTTCTGGCCAGTCCTTGGCGGCTCCCCCAGCGGAGATGAAGGGCGGCGGGGCCACGGACTGACAAGCCAGGGGAGCTCCTACTGTTTTGATAAACATCAGCGACAGTAAGAAGTGTTAAAAAATAAAGGCTTATCTGAGCGGAGCTGGCAAATCTGCTTAGTTTTCTTTGCCGTTGCCTTCGTCCAGTGTGTGCAGGTGGCCTTCCGCAGGTGGCCTTCCCGCTCTAGCCAGAGCCCTGGAATTGCTTAGTGGTCTCCTATCCAACTGCTAACTAGATCTGTCCCCGTTTAGCTTCCCCGCCCAGACAACGCCAACCAGGTGCTGCCACCTGCTGAGGCAATAAACATTATGCATTTATTAATCACGGTGCCAGCATTTAATCAATAGTGTTACTCATAAAGCCGCCTTCCGCGCTCGAAAACTAGTTTGGGGAAGCGCGGAAAGAGGCTCTTGAAAAAACAAGACCCTCCTGGGTGGTGGCTTTTGCTGCTTTCTCCCGGGCGCGCCTGCCAAACGTGGAGCCCGGCGCGGGATCGCGAGCTTGCCTTCCTTCGCCTCTTGCGCCAGGAGAGAGCCGAGCCGAAATTGGGGCCCGGCCTTTCCCCGCGCTGCTTTTCTCGCAGGTCCGAGAGAAGCCTGGAGGGAGGAGTGCCGGCTGGCCGGCCCGTCTGACTCCAGATGAACAGCCAGGCCTGCAGCTGGAGGATCCGCAGGAAGCAGGGAGACCCGACGGGCTGCAGGAAGCGGACCCTTTGGAGCTCTTTTTTGGTTTTTGGTTTTCCTTTTAATAGCAGTGGGCAGTATCGCCAACCCGTCTCAGCAGTTAACAGCTGAAGGGGAGAACCAGGACGGCCAGCCTGGAGGGAGATAGGCTTTCAAAGCAGAAGAGAAAAGGAAGCCGGGAGGCGTCTTCCCCTTTGGAGGGACGGGAGATCTCTGGAAGGCCGGACTGGCTCGGTCTGCTGGCGACTCCCCCTTCTTCACGGGAGACCAGACACTATTTGATCTGTTATGACAGCAGCGCTCACTTAGATCACGGAACTGAACTACTCCAATCAGGGACTTAACGCTCAGAAGTTCCAGCACCAGGTCACAGCCTTGACACATCAAATCAAAATCAGGGGGCGGGAGAAGGCCTTTCCCTCCGGCCAACCAGGAGGCTTGGGCGCGATGCCCTCCCTCCCTCTTCCTGAGGCCGCCCCCCTCCACCAAAAGTCTCCCAGCCCTGAAGATCCCGGGATACCGTCTTGTTTTGCTCACCAGAAGGGGCGTTGGGAAGGGGCGGTTTGTGCAAGCAAGAATGAAAATAAGCGTACCAAAATAAGAGACGTAGGTATATTCTAGGGGGAGAGGGCGGCGCAGCTGTTTTTCTGGCTGAGAAGCTTAAGCCTTTGAAATGAAATTATCAGTCACTAAAGGAAGACAGTGGGCGAGGTTTTCTCCAGGCCAGGCCCTGCAAACCCAGAGCATGGAAGAAAAGCGGGCACTCTTCCTTTCTCGCTTCATTCCGGCCGGGCGCAGCTATCTCTCGCCTGAGCGCAGCATCTCAGCTCTTAAGGCCTTCTTATGAAGTCCTGCACAAAAATGTCCACGTTAAATCCGTTCTTAAAATGCCACTGATGGGCAGCACCAAACTCAAGGCCTGCCAGGAAAAAACGAGACTGCTGGCGCTGCCGGGAGCGCTTAACGCTTCTCAAGAAGGACGACAAAACCAACTCCTCCAAAGTCCCTATTTGCTTCCCCGGACAAAGTTTCCTTACGGATCTTCGAGGAGATGAAATTCAAGGAAAATCAAGCAGTACAGTGAGGCCCCTGAAGAAAAAGTTAATTTCATTCATTCTCCCTGGAAATCTCCCGAATTACTGCAATCTAATTTTGGAGCTGGCTGGGAAGCGTTGTGGGGACGTCGGGAGGGTGTAAAATATGGTGAAGCAGGTAGCAATGACTACTGCTGGTTGACCCCTTAAATGAGATGGGGAAGCAGGTGGCAGATAGGAACATCCACACCTCGTCTCGAAGGAAGAGGGCTTCGTCTCTCTTCTTCCCCCTCAATGGCTTAGGAGTTGTTTCAACGCGCCCCCATCCTATTATAGGATACCTTCTTTTTCTTTAGGCGGAGGCCCAATGACTCACAGAAAACTTAAAGGAGCCACTATTTTGGAAAGATAGCGCTGGGTTTCCTTTTATTTATTCTGAAACTCAATATCCGGGACAGCTCGTCGATCTGATCCTGGACCTCGCTACAGGCACGGAGGACATGGATCACAACTGGGGGAGAGGAGAGAGGTAAGAAAGGGGGGGGGGGATTGGGGAAAGCGCAACTCCGTTTAATTAACTGATAATTGATAGTTGGCGCAGCTAAGCGTCGCAGAGTGGAGCCCCAAAGGATCGCCAGAGGTTTCCGAGAGAAATCTCCATTCCCTACAAAGGAGAGGCCAGACGGTGAAGCGGCTCACCCACGAAAGAGTAAGGGAAGCCGCAAGCCAAGCGCTCTTCACGCTGTCCCGACATTTGGTTCGCCCCGCGCAGGCTTCCCGCCTCGGGTTGGAGCCTTAGAAACGGTCTCTGATCTCCGCAAGTAAGACACCAAGAGCAAAGGAAAAGAAAGGGAAAGGGGAGTTTTTACACACACACACACACACGCACACCCGGTGAAACCGCGCGCAAACTCCTCTGAAAAGAAGCGCTTGTCACTCCTTCTTCCCCCTTAAGCGGAACCTTCGAAGTCGGAAGGGCCGAAGTCGGGTTCAGTCCTGGTGTAAAGAGAGGCTTGTCTCTTACCGAAGGGTAATAGGGAAGAAAGAGGTGGGCATCAGGATCGGGACCAGGGGAGGACGAAAGCAGGTCACAAGCCGGGACCCTTCCGCGGCTTTCATGGTAACTCCGAAGTACCTTGTCGGACTCACGCTCCGCTACACGGAGCAAACCAGCCGAAAGAGCTCTACTACTACTAAGTGAATGTGCCACCAGGCTCAGTGAAAATAAGGAAGCAGGGGCAGGAAGGAGCGCCCCCGAGCCAGACTGAGCCTTAGTGCACTTGGAGGAACCCTAGCGCTGTTTCTGCCGTCACCCTGAACAACTCAGCCACGAAGGCGCTGCTCGTTTCAGGACCGATAGCCAGAGTTCACCACACATATGCTTATTCCGAAGTAAATATCGCTGTTTATCCGGGATCCCCATTTCCGGTGCACAATTGCTCCTAAGGAATCCCAACGGGGGGGGGGGGGGGCTCCCCAAAACCAAGGGACCCCAGCATATAGGAACATTGCACCCCGCCCCCCGAACAGAGGTTTTTCCCAATTCGTGTTGGGCTATAACTCCCATCGCTCGCAGCCAGCGAAGGCATTGCTGGCTAAAAAGTGCGGATGCTGTTGTAAGCTCACCCCAGCCCGAAGGGGTCGGAGAAAGCAGCTGGGAGTGATGTTGACGGCGGCGCAACGCTGGTGCTGAAAAGAACCTGCCGGATGGCGGTCTAGAAGCCTGGAGTCGGGGAAAGGACCGGTCTGAGCCCTGGGAGAGACGCTGGCGGACGCGACGCCAGGAAAGCGCATTCGAGCGCGCCCAGGTACAGTGGTGTCAAGGGAGAAATGACCGGCGGGAAGTGGGGAGAGATCGCGGATCGATCGATCGCTCGCTCGCTCGGCTGGCCCGCCCGCCGGGCTGGGTGGGCCGGGGTGTTGGCAGGGGTGGGGGGGCGAGGGGAGGGAAATACCGGGCCGCGCCTGGGCCGCCTGCCCCGCGC